TCTATGACTTTGTTTGAGTATGAGATTTCTATTGCTATTGAGTTCAACTTTTAGTCCATGATGATCCAAGAAGATACAAGGAACAATTTCTATTATTTTAAATTTGTTGAGGTTAGACCTGTGTCCTAAGATATGATGAATTTTGGGGATGATCCATGGGTTGATGAGAATAATGTGTATTCAGGATGAAATGTTCTATAGATGTCTGGTAAGTCCATTTCTTCTAGGGTCAAGTTTAAGTCCATTATTTCTTTGTTTAGTTTTTTCTTGGAGGATCTATCCAGACCTGACAAAGGGGTATTAAAATTTCCAACTATCATAGTACAGGAAGGTATCAAATTGTTCATACCCAGTAGGATTTACTTTATAAATTGAGGAGCATTCAGTAGGACACATAAATGTTAATTATTAAAATCTCTTCATGTTGAGTATTTCGCTTGACAAATATGTAGTGTCCATCCTTGTCTTTCCTTATCTTTGTTGGTTTAAATCCTATTGTATCTACAAATAAGATCGCAACCCCTGTTTTTCTCTGATTTCTATTTGCCTGTATTATAGATGTCCATCCCTTTACCTTTAGTCTTATTTAATCCTTTGAGATAAGATGAGTCTTATGTATTCAACAGAAACCTGGCCTGAGTTTTTGTATCCAGTTATCCAACCTGTGCCTCTTTAGAGGACAATTTAAGCCATTCACATTAGTTGAGAGAATTGATAGGTATGGTAGTGTTTTGGACATCATCTTTTCCAAAGGTCCAGTGCATATTTTTAATCCTTTCACCATTGTGGATGTTAATTTTTGTTCAATAAATTCTGGGCATGTTTACTTTGGTCTTAGACCATTGTGCCAGTCATTATGGAAAACAGGTCTGAGTATTTCCTAGAGAGCTGGTTTAGTTATGGCAAATTTCTTCAACATGTGTATGTCAGTAAAGTATTTTGATTTCTCCATCACAAATGAAATTCAGTTTAGTTGGATACAGGATCCTGGGCAGTTGGGGTCCGCCTCAGGGGCAGGGTCCATTGAGACCTATGGATCTGGCAGACCAACTGAAGAAAAACAGAAACAATGAGAGATAAAGAGACAAGACACACAGAATAGAATTTTCAAAGGTGGGAACACAGGGACGCACTGCCCTTTTGTGGGGTTCTGACAAGTGGCCACAACTGTCAGTTCTACTCAGCTTTTATTGAAAGCTATTTGCTCATTAGCCCAGAGGGTAAGTTGAGGAAGGTAAAAAAGACATCAGAAGTTTCTTTGAGTTTCTTTGAGTGAACAATTGGCTCCTGTTGTTTCTATAATCATTAACCTTAAGGGTCTGAGCAGCCTTGAGAAATCTAGAACCTGAACCTTGTGTGGGGGCAGCCTCCTGTCTGTGGTCACAGACACAGATTCCTAGGGAGGTGTTCACTTCATATTAACTTTGGCAAAGTTAATTACCATGCGTCTAGGAGATGCATTATTTGGATTGAGTCTTGCGCGGGGCGGGGGAGTTGAAACTATCTAGTATCTCAATTTCTGTATCTCTTGCAATGCTTGGGAAATTCTCCTGCACAGTATCTTGGAGTAGAGTATCTGTGCCTTTAGAACCATCTTCTTCTCCCTCAGGAATTCCTGTAAGTCATATGTTTGATCTTTTGGAATGATCCCACAACTCTCTCAGGGAATGATCAGTTTTTGTTTTCCATTTCCCTGCCTCTTTGAGCACTTGGGATCATTCAAAGGCCTTGTCTTCAATTTCTGAGATCCTTTCTTCTGCCTGCTCAACTCTATTACTGAGGGATTCAACTGTATTTCAAAGCTCCTCAAATAACTTTTTTCACTTCCTTTAGCTCCACTATATCTTTTTCATTATGTCCATATCTTTGGTGACTTGGTCTTTGAATTCATTAATTTCTTGAGACAACTTTTGAACTACTCTTTGGATTTCTATTCCATGTTTTCCTCCATTCTGTTCATACATATTATATGCCATACACATTCTGAATTCTATTTCTGACAAGTCAGCCATTTCTCTGTGAAAGGCATCTTCTGTTATATCTCCTTGTCGTTCCTCAGGGAAGTAGATCTACTCTGGTGATTCATATTGACAGAGTTCTTCTGCTGATTCTGCCCCATGAGTATTATCTAAAATTTGGCAATTAAAACTGATAGGGTGAGATTGGATTGGAGGCCCCAGGAAGTGGAGTTAACCATCCTTTTACCAATGAACTGGGGCTTGTGATTGTCACTTACAAAGGTCTTACAAAGGTTCCTTTCATAGCTGCAACCAGAGACTCTGAGGACCTACTTGGTGAGATCCTCTCTTCTTGCACCCCTCTGCTTCCACTCAAGTCACTGTTTTTGAGCTGCTCTCCAGCGGCCCACACAATGCCCAGGCTTCTCAGGGAATTAGTAAACACTCTGGGCTGTGCAGGGGGCAGACCTTCAGACTGCAAGGTGAGAGGGGTAGGGTGGACTGGGAATTCAGAATTGCAGGGAAAATATTTGTTGTATTTTATGCTCGACAGGATGATACCTAGGCTCACAAGTGGGACCTCCATGGAGAAAAAGGCCAGGTGTTTAGCAGCTCTCTCCTATGTGGTAAAATGAGACATCTTTTGTTCCCTGCTCATTTGGAGAGAGCCCACAGTGAGCCTCCCACTTGGTGGAGGGGTCTCTCCTCTTGGTGATGGGCTTTGTACCTGGAATTTTCTTGGATCCTCTTTCTTGGAGTCGCAGCTTGCCTCAGCAGAGGAGATGTGCACTTGTCTGTCTTCTCTCTCTGAGAAGCTCTCAGATCCCTATCTTCAGCTTCACTGAGTGCACATCTTTCCACTATCTCTCCCTCTGTACAGGTGTCTCTGGCAATAGCTGCCTTTAGTTGGCCGTCTTCCTTCCTCTTCTGGATTTTGAACAATTTAATTATGATAAGTTATAATGGTGTAGTTTTCTTCATTTTTTTTTTTTTTTTTGGCTTTGGCTTCATTGAACATCATGAATTTATAGATCAAATTGGAAATTTTCTAGCCATTATTTTTTCAAATTTTTTCTGCCCTTCCTCCCCCAATGTATAGTAGGCCACTTAAAATCTCACAGCTCACTGATGCTTTGTTCACTTTTTAAATTATATTTTATCTTTGTGATTAATTTTTAATAGTTTCTGGTAATGTCTTTAAGTTTACTAATCTCTTCTACTTCAGTGTATATTCTTTCATTAATAAAATTCAGTGTTTTTTTATCTCAGAGATTATAGTCTTAATATCAAGAAATCTGAATTTAGTACTTATTTAGATTTTTTGAACATATAAACAAGAGTTGCAGCAACTGTTTTATTGTCTTTATCTGCTAATTCTAAGATCTATGTCAGTTGTAGGTCAGTTCCTATTGATTGAATATTCTCATACAAATTCTATTTTCCTGCTTTTTTTGCATAGGTGGTACTCATTAATTGAATGCCATACATTATGAATTTTATCTTTTTGAATGTTCTTATGTTTTTGTATTCTTATAAATCTTGAACTTTGTTGATTTACTTGGAAGTGATTTTATCCTTTCAAGTATAGCTTCTATGATTTGTTAGGCAAGTCTACAGTAGTATTTAGTATAAAGCTGATTATTCCCCAGTATTTAAGCAAGACCTACTTCCCTACTCTATGCCATGTGAATTATGAGTGGAGGAACAGGCACTATTCCGGGAACTGGTCTGTGTGGTGGGAACAGGTACTAGTCCATGCATTGGTTAAGTAGTGGAAAATAGTCCCAGTAATCCTTTTCAGTGGTTCTTTCCCCAGCTCTCTTGACATGCATGCACTATTCAGTACTCTACTGAGAATTCAAGGAGGCCTCACTGCAAATCCCATGAGAGTGTACTCTCTCACTCTCTCCTTTAGTACTATGTTGTGCAAACTTAGCTATCTTCGTGTCCCTGGACTTTCATCTTCATCTCAACACAGGGAGTCCTCCAGGTCCACCTGGATTCCCCCTCTCTGTACACAGCATAGAAACTCTCCATGGAGTAAGCTGAGGTGATGGTAGAGCTAACCTAATTTATTTTCTGCATCCCAGGGATTACTGTCTTTCACAGCATTATATTCAGCATCTTGAAGACCACTATTTCATATGTTTTATTTCTTTCCTTTTGGGGGTGGGGCAGTTACAGTCCTTATTTGAATATTAACATATCCAAAATGTTATGGCTGATGTAGGACTCCCATATCAACAGCAGTGGGCTGAATCTCAAATAACTATGTATTTGAAAAAACAAAAAGATTTTTCATTCACAACAAACACTAATAAGTAGATCAGTCTATTATTTAATAGAACACTCTAGTTCAATTTAGTAGGTTCAGTTAGTACTTAATTGACTAATAATCAAGGAGGCTGATTTTCACTACTGAACTCTACACGACCTAAGGCGAAAAATCAAAGCATAACATTTATTCCAGAGCAATATAATTGTGATCTAATTGATTATAATAAATTTTAAGTTCAAGATCCTGCTCTTCAGCCCTTTCTCACCTCACCAATCCTAACCTTAGCCCTGTCTTTTATCTTCCATTGATTCTCCAGATATTCAGTTAAACATCACTGTTTCCAAAATGCTTTCCTTGACCCTGTGAAATAAGTAGATCTCCCAAACTGAATGTCTCTGTAGCACTCTACACTTCCCATGTCATAATATTTATTATATTTTATAGAATTCATCTATCTTTCCTCATGGGCTCTCAGTTTCTGCTTCACTGCTATGGCCCCCTGTCACTTTAGCATGTAATGCCTCTGTTATTTTTTTTAACTGTGTAAATATAAAAGAATATTCATGGATTTTAGATGTATGTTACCAGCTGTTGCTGGTGCATTAATGATACTATTGAACAAAGTGAAATCTAAGCAATATTGTTACCTTATGATTTTTCTAATCCATGTTTTGCATGTCAGTAGTTAAAGCTAAGAAGTGCACTATTTGTTATACTTTTGATCCATCAGATTAACATATGCGTGGATTTTGTGTTTTTTTTAGGATGCAGAAGAATATACAGATTTGCCAGTAAGACACAATGAAGATCACATGAATAGTGAGCTGGCCAAATGTCTTTCCGTCGAATCAAATCCTCACTCCTTCGACAGCCCTCACACCAAAGCACATCTCCTGCTGCAGGCACATCTCAGCCGAGCCATGCTGCCCTGCCCAGATTATGACACTGATACCAAAACAGTCTTGGACCAAGCTCTCAGAGTATGTCAGGTATGAAAGCCATTTGTAATACTTACATATTCTGCTTCTATTTCTGTCATTCCCTTTTTGTCCTATTTTAGGGTAAAATTTATTTGCATTTAACAATTGATTGTAGCATTATTAAAAAACACCTCATTAATGACATCAAGAATTTCCAAAGGAAAAGTAAATATCAATGCTAGTTTCCGTTTCCCATTCAACCAAATTTTATTAAAGGAAAACTATGTGCCAGATACTTTTCTAGACACTGAGCATACAGTAATGAACAGGACAGAGAAGTCCCTGCTGCTGTGGACTTTCACTTAAGATGGGGAAGACTGACAATTAAAAATAGAAGTCAAGAGATGATAACTGCGGGTTTTTTAAGTAACAGGGCACAATGAAGGAGGAAGATGGAGAGTACTATCGTGTGCTATTCTTTATATGGTATTCAGGGACTATCACTGATAAAGTGACATTTTAATAAGAATTAAGAGGGAGTGCCATAGAGTTTCTACAGGGATATATTCCAAACACTAGGAAAAGTAAATGCCAAGGTTCACATGTAGGCACTTACTTGGTATATTCAAGGGATACCAAAGAGGCCATTGTAAAGAAGATGGAAAGAGATGGTTAGAATTGAGGTTAGAGAAATGGAAGAGAAGACTGTAGAGAAAGTGGGTCAGATCATATGAGGAGTCTGTAAACCATGGTAAGAATTTTGGATTTTACACTGAAAGGGAAGCCAGTAGAACATTGGTTCACTAGTGGTCATGTCAGTTATATCATTCAGTATTTTCTATATTAATTAAAACTGAGACATTCTCAAATACATATTTCTGCATTTAAAGATAACAATAATAGGCTCACATATTAACATGAATAATATGACTTTTCATTAAAAATAACAATTTTCCAAAATAGTAAAAAATTACTTTTAAGTGTATCATTATTTTAAATTTTACAAATATCCTTAATATCCAGCTTAATAGAATTCAGCTGGATTTACATATCTCTTCTTGCAATCAACACAAAATGTCTGTTGTAATATATGATGTTTTAGTTGAAGTACATGGAGAAAGTCCAGCTGAAAAGAGAGGTGTTTTTAAAGGGAAGAGTATTTTTATAGCTTTTCAGATGTTTATCTTCTTCGATTCTACACCAAAACTTGACAAGTAGTCTTTTTTCAAATGTGAAATCAGAAACCATGTCAATGAGCTTTTCATATTGTGCACACTTTAGGTCTGGCTGAGCAAAACATGATGGTGGTTAGTCTGGGTTAGGGTGGGTGAGGTTGATGAGAATTGGTTGGTTCCTGAATATTTTTCTAAGGCAAACTAACAGAATCTGCTAATGGATTGGACAAGGGCTTTTAGAGAAAGCAAAGAGCCAAAGACAATTTTAAGGCTTTTCTGCAGAGTGGGATGGATGTAGCTAATATTTATTGGACGATGATTGTGAGAGCAACAGGTTTGGGTGAGGGAAAACACTTAAGTGATTGAGATTATGAGGATTTTGATTTTCTACACTATATCTTTTTTTGATATTTCTGTAACATAAAATAAGTCTTAAAATTTTCAAAAATGTAAGATGTTTTGAAGGTGGAATAAATTAGGCTATGAAGATACATGTACAAGAATATATATTATAGCCTTACTTGCACAATTAAAAGTATGGAAATAACCTAAGTATCTTTCCGGTTATGGAACACTCCAGAACATTATAATTCCATTTATGAATTCTGTCTATGTACAATGTGAACAGACACCTAGAGAGAAGATCCAGAATAGCATCCGTCAAAAGATTAATGGTACTCGCACCTCTAGCTAACAAAATTTAGGGTGATTTTTAATTTCTTCTTTAGTCTTTTCTAAAGTGTTGAATGTTTTAAAATAAACCTCCAATGTTTTTATTAAAAAATAACAATTTTACTACTTTGAAAAATAGAAATGTTTTATAAAATAAAGTCAAGCCATCAGAAATTAGAAGGGAAGTAAGGTTATAATAAACACATAAATTTTTTAACTCCCTTCTGTTACTAACACATGGTTTACTTCTCTAGGACGATGATTGGCCACTCCTTACTAGTCACACCTCACAAACTTTAGGTTAAAGGCCCTAACTTTTAGCTGTGGCCCTGGATACTCACTTGCGTTCCCTATAACTCCTTTTTCCTTCTCAAATACTGACTTACTAATGAACTCCGGAGTCAAAAGGATTGGAGAGAAGTTGTGGGAAAAATTAAATGTTTATCCTTGATTTTTTTTCAGCACTTAGTCAATAATAATCCCATAGATGTATAATAATATAAATAAGAAAGTTCTAAAGGAATCTGTTTCTAAATTTACTAGAAAAGAAAAGGATTCAGTCAGGTACTTTTAACTTCTATTAGATATTTTTATTGAAAGGATACATATTTTTTTTTACTTGTAAATACCCTCTGAGGAGAAATAGTTTCCTCTTTAATTGTAAAAGTATTATAGTTTGTTATAGATACCATGTTTCCCTGAAAATAAGACCTACCCAAAAAATAAGCCCTAGCAAGATTTCTATGCATTGTTAAATATAAGCCCTACCCCAATAATAAGACCTAGTGATGGGCATGGCTATGCAGCATATCTGCATAGCCATGCCATGCATTTCAGCATGGAGCGGTAAGGAAGACTGGAATACCTTCTATCTGCCACAGCTCCTTTCTCCAAGTCATTAGCACTTGTGCGGGTGTGTGTGTGGTAAACGCAGTCGCAGGCATCTTATTGGGCACCTGTGAACAGCTAGGGGAAAGGAGTTCACGCATCACTAGCATCAGCCCCACCAACAAGGTCGGCTCTCCCATCAGGGTCCAGAAGAAGATGACTTAACTGTATTTGAATAAATATAGATTGTTGTATTATACTTAACAAAAATAAGACATCCCCTGAAAATAAGCCCTATTGTGTCTTCTTGAGAAAAAATAAATATAAGACAGTGTCTTATTTGGGGGGAAACACTGTAATTTAGAAAAGCAACATACTGGCTCAGCACCTGTGGCTCAAGTGGCTAAGGCGCCAGCCACATACACCTGAGGTGGCGGGTTCAAATCCCCAGCCCGGGCCCGCCAAACAACAATAATGGCTGCAACCAAAAAATAGCCGGGCATTGTGGC